ATTACCTCGACGTAAGGTACGCCGTCTGGATTATGCTCTGTTGAATACATTTGTGAGCACACTTTCGTTTGGGACTTCTCCTGAATTACGGCAACTTGGCACTCGACTTGACTTTCTCTCCCGAAGAACAGTCGGCTCCTGGCAAAGCTTTGTATGGATGCGGATAAGAAAACATTGCAACGAAGGGCACAATAAACTATTGTCTCATTTGTGGACCCATCATTGGATTTATTTCATCCCGAATTCTCATTGAAACCATCATCGCAGATGATACCTTGTCCGGAGCCTCCTCACAAAATATTCTGGACCAACAGAAACAACTGCGAATAATACATGAAGAATTTTCGACCGAGCGGAGGATTAAGGAAGTACCGGGGGAGGCCAGGGGCCACAAAATGCATCGGGAGGCCCAAGGTGTCACAACGACCGGTCATCGCACTTCACTTGCGCCTCGCCAGCCCCTCCCCCTCCCCCGTCACACCACGCCACGCCCCGCTACGCCTCCCTTCGCCTTGCATTCTAAGCGGCGCACCCCGCGCCCCGCACGACCTCTCACTCAATCTTACAACTGGCAGCACTCGCGCTGCGCCTTCACACCCGCTTCGCCACCCCTTCCCACCCACAGCAACACTCCACCCTCGCACCCCACCCTCTCTCGGAAACTAAAGCGCTCTCCGCACTCAGCCGCTCGCCCTCCCCGCCGAATATCCCCTCTCCCACGCACCGCCTCTCCCGGCAAGTCGACCACCAGCCGCACTCACACCGCCCACTACATCCACCGCAAAGCCATCACCCCAGTCTTAGGTGGCTCAGGGCATCAATGAATATCCCAGAAGTGCCTCTGACCGGGAGGTCGTAAGGTCCCGACGGTGGCAAGATTTCCAACACGTCATTACTAGGAAGAGTTCTGCCGCAGTCTGGGGAGAATTCTAGCGGTCGGCTGCTCGGGTCGGTGGTTTCTTCGATCAACATCATACGAATGTTAGAGCAGTACCTTAACAAACGGGCTACGGACAGCGGGCCGATCTTTCCTTCCTCTTCCTTGTCCTATCTTCAGCTAATACTTACATAAACGTACATGCACGACACTACCATACACGCCGGGAGACCGGTCGGCAACTTAGGGTTAGACCCGGCTGGTTGGGGAGAAAATCTGCCAGCCTACGGGTAGGTCGGTACTGGATTTCGCCATTCAGCTTAAGAAGATGAACGTCACGTTTGAGATGAAGCATGCACTACACTTACGGAACTAATAACCTTAGCAGTTAACACACCCGAAACATCAATAAAAAGCTTGTTCAGCTTCCGCCGCGTAGTTGCGAAAAACCAGGCAAGTCGATTGGCTATTTACGCCCTTCTGCAGTCTACGGTATAGACGCTCAAAAGTTGCAGCCTCAACCACAGCATTTCCTTGCCGCAGCCTTCACGTTGCCCCAAGTATGAGTCTCAAGCTCGCCTTCTACTACACTAGCCTTCACACCGCGCCTGCAACCTCGCGCCCCTCCACTCGCCTCCTGCCACGCTGGCAGACTCGTCCTCAACCACGCCCACCATCTTCTCCCTGACCTCGCCGTCAACCGCCCTGCCATCCTACGCCACAATGCCCCGTCGACCGCCACCACAACCTCGCGCCATCCCGCCCGACACTCACCTTCATCTTGTTGGCTCACCGTCAACCTCAACGCCATCCTTACTGCCATCCGACTTTGCACTCACCAACTGTCCCGTCATCCGCCAACACCTCCACGCGCCCACCACTGCCATCCATCGTCTACTTGTTGAGCTCGCTGTCCTCAAAGCCTCAAGCCTCCGCCAACCCGCGTGCTGGCAACTGACATCCAACTCATCATCTGTCCCCAAAGTCCTGCAATTTTTCTCAACATCATTCCCACCTGCCCAGTGCCTGGCAATCTCCGGCAACTGCCCATTGGTTTAAATCAGGCCTGCCAGCGTTCTGCCCTTTGACTGACCTCGGGAGCCGAACGCGAGCAACCTGAGTGCAGACACGGGCCGCGTGGAAGGGGGGATAAGACTCATTCTAGGGGTGGGGACCGCCAGTGAGAATGCGCGATTCGAACCGCAGCGCGTAAATTAAAAGAGCAATTGCTAGAATTGACGGACTGTTACACACAGTTCAAGTATCATTATTATTTTGGAAATGTTTATTGTCTACTCATAACACAATGTACAAAATGAACCTAAAACGAAATAGATATACATATTCCATTTGGATAAGTATTTCCTGCGTTATGTTATCATTTAAAGATTATATTCCTGGTGAAAAAGAAATTGTTAAATTGTAAATTTATGTTGGTTAAACTTACGTTTTTAAAAGAGGCTACAGCTTTAAACTATTGTTTACGAGTTAAAATGAGCATATACTTTTTAAAAAAATATGTCGATACATAGCATTGCATTCAAGAACATAAATAGTGAAATATAGCCCTTGTAGCTAGAAATAGAGTAAACTGGTCATTTAAACAACCAAGCAAATCATTTCACAACATGGATCATTACATTAGACTCTAAGGCATTCAATTTACGCGCAGCGTTGACACCGCCCGAACTTCTCTCCCCGCAAAGCTGTCTTCTCGCGGGCACGCAGAGAGCAGGAGTGGTGCAGTCCTGGTCTAAATGCATGCTACTCCAGCATCCAGCGGCTAAATGAAATCTGACAGGCAGCTTTGCCCTAGCGAAGGACTTTTTCGACCACTGTCGAAGAAGATGAAGAAGGAGAAAAGAAGACGAAGAAGACGAAGAAGAATAAAAGAAGAAGACGAAGAAGAAGAATAAAAGAAGAAGACGAGGAAGAAGAATAAAAGAAGAAGACGAAGAAGAAGAAGAAGAAGAAGAAGACGGAGACGAAGAAGAAGAAGAAGAAAAGAAGAAGAGAGGAGAGAAAAGTAATAATCGCTTTACAATTCCACCACTACTCACTCTCTTCACAGGTTCGACGATATTATTTTGACCTCCATCAGACATCTTACATGGTCTTCACTCACCGCGCCCTTTTCCCTTCGCCACTTTCCTTCACTGCCTTTCCTCCTTTATCACTTTCACCCCCCTCCACCCCTCGAAACGGGACCGTGCTCTTCGCCTGCCCCCTCCTCTTCCACCGGTCGTAATTGCGATTCGCGCCGCACGGAAGGTGGTTGGCACCGCGGGGAGTGGCGGGAATGGCGGAATATTCCTTGGCACCAGGCGCAGTGGGCGGCGCCTGCTGCAGGCTGACTTCATATGCTGCTGGCTCGCCGGGCGTGATGGTCGTGACGCGAAAGGAAATAAGCCCCATGTGTGTTAAAACGGGGTGCGGCTGTAGAAATCATTTTCCCTGTTTTACGCTCTAATTAATTAAGAACGCGTGTTTCTGGGTTTGGATAACGTTAGGGATACTGGGTGACATGGAATTTGTTACTTTGAAATACGTCAACAGCACCTACGAACTTTACTCTCTTTTATAACAGTTATATTATACTAAAATGCATTTATATTATACTAAATGTATTATTTTTATTGTATCATGATATTATTGTAATACTAATTTCATATATAACATTATATAATGCACCATCATGTACAAACATTCAATAGTAAACGGTAATACAAAATACTTGTCACAATGCATTCTAATCTGAGTCAGTTATATACCACTAGTTTTGTTTATTAATTATGACAATGCAAAACTTTTATTGTAATAGTCTCCAATATTAAACCTAATTTTCATTTTATGTTTTGCTTCTTATTTCATTTCGACCCCCAAAAGCCAATGTGCAACGCGTGCTAGCGCCATTGCAGCGTTGCGTCCTAACTTCTCTCGTGCTTTATGGCTTCCTGCGACCCACGTGCGGTACGCAGGCGCAGTATCGTGAAACAAAAGCACAGGGCCCCAGGAAGGTTGGGGAAGAAGGTTACGCCGGGCTCGCCGCCCACTGGCGCACTCTGGCTCCCAAACGCCTGGCCCCGTGCCCGCGGCGCGGCGCGGCGCTCGCCCAGCGAACGGAAGCGTTTGTTCGTCCCAAGGCCGTCTGCCCGCGACAACGTGGAGACGCCAGGATACAGGCCATGGGATTGTTTATTGGCCCGTTTCATCGTAACAACTTCTTTATTCAAAGAAGGAAAATGTTATTACAAGGATTGTCTGTGTTAGCAATTCTGAATTTTATTTGTGATAAATATATATTTAATGTTTTTTGTTCCAGACCCAGCGCAAAGAATGATTCAGAGAAGGATTCAGTTACATCACTATGTCAACAAACGGATGCTTTTGTTCGTTCCAAAGTCGTACTACAAACGGTCCATCCATAACAAAGTGCATAATCTAGGGGACAGTCGTTCTTTTGTTGATTTATCCATTTCATCATAAGGACTCATTTATTAAAGAGTGATTTTTAATTGTTGATTTGTGAATTGTGTGTGATCGGTTCTTAACATTCTTTCTCCTAATTTTTTATTTCGTATGGGAGTCCGAAGCCTGCGGGATTTATAATCTGCCTTGTGAAGTGTCATTCAGAACGTCGCTGCATCTTCTACTAGTAATAATAATGATAATAATAATATTAATATTTAATGTTTTTTTCTTCGAGAACTCGTATGTAGAATAATTCAGAGAAAGATTCAGTTATATCACTATATCAACAAACGGAAGCTTTTGTTTATCCCTAGGGGGTTCTGCAAACGGTCGATCTATAATAAAGTGGATACTTCTGGACACACTAAAATGTTTTGTTCATTGATCCAATTCATCATAATTAATGATTTAATGATGATTAATTTGAATTAATGATAATTCATTAATTCGAGGACTGAATTTTTTATCACACGAATTGACTTTGTTATAGGTTCGGAAAATAAGTTTTGAGAAATGTATATTGAATTTTTTTTTATTGGAGAGTCAGTGGATAGAATGATTTCGACGAGGAATTCTTCAGCCATATCACTATATCCGCAACTACAATTCACGTATATGCCACATATAGTGCAATAAGAAAATAATATTTTAATTAATATGTTATTCTGAAGTTATTGGTATCACAAAATTTAAAATTAACATCATAAGGATTCCTTGATACGGGAATGTGGCTTACTGAGAAAGGAGAAAATAAAATGAGGAAAAACTGAGTAAAAATTTCAAAAGAGAAAAGGATGAAATGATGGAGAATAAGCAAGATTAAACATACTGAAAATGACATTTCTAAACTTTTTAAATAGTTATCAAACATAGAGGGATGAATTTAATTTAAACATAAAATAGGTTTTTGTATTTTTATTTTATTTGTTGTGGAAAACAGAATAAATAAGATTGACAGTTTGTATCGTTATCAGTTTTTTAAATAAAGATACTATTAATAATCATCATTATTTAAATCTTTAATATTCAAAAAATAGAAGTTCGTACTGAAATGTATTCCCTCATATTTTTTACTATGTCTCAGGTATTATTTTATACTTGTATTGACTTTGTAAGAGATTCTTGGATACGAGAGATGAAATGAACATTTTTCATGTCTAGATATTAGTTTTAAGAGAGCTTTGTAGAATAATTGTAAATGTGTGTAAATAATTAAGCAAAAATTAAAATGTATACATAAATCAAATATTTACGTCATTATTTTGCAGGAAATTAAGATTTCATTTTCTTTATTTAACCAGACTTACACTCTTCTGAACTGTTAGAGGGTGTATTGCTCTTCCAGCTTTGATTGAATTGCACTAAAACAACTAGATATGTCACCATGGTGGTCATAATCTGCAACAGAAAAATGTTTGTCAAGAATATTCCCAAACACTCACTTCAATATACATTCAAACAGTAATCTGTCAGAGTAGAAAAGATCGAGGATAAATCGTCAAAATATTATATTGATTTGCATATTACACTAAACAATTGATTTGATATGACATACGTTTTACAAATAGAACAAGAGATTTCTACAATTGTTTACATTTTCAAAATACGAAAATGACATTCAAATATTTTCAGTTTATTTAGAATCTTAACAGATTGTCTACGTGAGTAGAATTGTTTCAAATAATTTTCAATGAAGTTTCTGAAATTCTCAATAGTTTTCTGCACCAACAGAGACTTGTGACAAAAGTATTCCCGATACAGGCTCAAACCAGTGACACTTCCTTCCAAAACGCTGGGTGCAAACCTGACCTTTACCACTTCAGCCCTCCGGGTTATAAAGAGAATTGTCTTAAGCACCAAAAGACAACAATTAATTTGTCGAAATGTTTTAGAAATCCAATAAGAGATCTTAAAAATTGTTTAGAAGATGAAAATTTAAAAATCACATACGAAGCAATTTGCGATGAAAATTACTTCAAATGGTTTTCAATAAATTTTCTGGAATTATCAATTATTTTCTGGGGCAACACAGAATTGTTATAAATAATAATTTTCGACCGAGGCTCGCACCGACGGACTTCCCCTTCGAAGAGCTGAGTCCCTAAACACCAATTAGCCCCCTCGGCCACCCAGGTAGCACATAGCATTCACACTTATGAAATAGTAATAAGCGTATGGTGGTTGCAGTTCTAGCATTAGTAAGCCGTAAAATCGGGAAAATGAGAAAAAATATCCCACGGACGACCAAACGAGTTACAACAAGTTACAAACAAACAACTGAAACCCTAGTTCAGACTAAAGAGATTATAAAACTACATACTACGAAAAAGTCGGCGCCATTCTATAGCATCACTAGTATCTTTATTATTTATTTATTTATTTATTTATTTACTTATTTATTTAAAAAGCTAATTTTCTAGAAAAAACTTTTTATGATGCAAAAATATTTTCAATTTGTAGTTTTGAGTTTTGATTTTTTTTGCCAGTTTCGGAAGAAAGAGCAATACTCGAAAGTGGGACCAGCACCATATTTTGTACCGTCCCTTATTACATGTATGAATAAAATTGAAAAAAAAATTTTTGAAGCTGTTTTCGAGAAAAAAAATGTCGCACTTTCAAAATAATATTAGTTCCTAATTCTTCCGTCTGCAAATGTGTAATGAATGAGTAATAACTATGTGCTTTACTAGACTCTGCGCGTAGACAGTCAGCGAACGTTTCATTTGCGTATTAGTGGGCGTTGCTTCGAGAGTCCAGTAAATAAGCTGGCGTGGCCAGTCAACCGCTTAGCCCGGGCCCATCCACGCAGGAATTTTCGAAATTTTCACGCGAATTTCAGGTCATTCATTTAGAAGTCACTAAATAAAAGTAGAAAAAAAGTGCCAAAACGGATGTAAGAAAAGAAATCAAGTAGAGTTTTGATTTTACCAACAATAATTAAATTCGTTCATAAAACTTCTTCGTTACTAAATAATTTAGGATCTAGAAATTAATGAAAAAGTGGTTCCATAAAAACATTTGTATTATAAATGCTTCTTAATTTTACTCCCATGAAGTGACATCTCAATGCCTTTTTCAAAAGCAATGCGCGTTAAGTCGAAAGTTGCACTTAGGCGAGTGCGTGGAAGGCGCGCAGCGGGCGAGTGGCTGGCGTCGACGGGCGTGCCGGCGTGGCCGCGTGCCTCGGGGCGTGAGGAAACAATCAGCGGCGCTTTTGGCGCGTCAGCGAGGCACGCCCCGTCACGCGATCCCAACGCACAGCGGCCAAGGCACCAAGCAAATAAAAACAAAGAAATGGGTGTATGCCGAAAAATCGATTGACGAAGCAATCAGCCGATTTTCTTTACCGGTTGATATTTCCCTCTCAGTCTAAACGAACTGGAGACAGCGAATTTGAAACGGATATTTTTATTAAGAGGGATTTGTTTTTAAGAAGATTATTAAGATATTTTATTAAGAAGGACTATTTTTAAGAAATGGATATATGCCGAAAAATCGATTGATACTAAAATGCCTGTCTTTACGTCTATTCATCACTAGCGTCTAATATTTTCAGTCGATTTGCTGTACCGATTGATACTTCCCTCTCGATCTATACGAACTCGAGACTGCTAATTTTAAACGGAAATTTCTATTTTGGGGAGGATTTTGCATGGAGCCCCAACATTTTCTCAAAGTTTCTACGTATTTTGTATTGAACTTTGGCCTCGGGAAGCGTTAAGAACTCCTAAAAAACGGTGTGCCATTCTCCAAGACACTCCAAACGCAGAACTCCAAAAAACGACGCATGCCATTTGCGTTGAAATCCATGATTTCTTGGAAATTGCAAAAGTTCAGAATTTCTTCGAGATTCCTACAACTAAAATAATGAAGAGATATGTTTTCCCGTAATAAAATCTGTTCATTAAAAACGTCCAATGTTTTGAAAATATAAGTTGTTTTTGCATAAGTTTTCATGAAACATAAGCAATTAAGCATTATTTTTTCTCAAAAAAGAAGTAGGTTTTAATACCAAAGTAATATTTTTTGCACTGTTGCCGTGAAAACGAATGGTGCCGAAGTCATTCAGATACATAGATTCAATGCTAAAGGCAATTAACGGCGCATAAAACGATATATTTTTGTTATTTTGTAGGTATTATGAAATTGTCACAATGCCGTAAAACATTTACATTAGTATGGTCACGTGATTCTGCCTCGCAGGAAGGGGCTTGGAACAGGTGATCCCATGTAGGTGGAAACTAAGGCTATAAGGCTGTGATTTCAAAACCTCCCTTAGGTAAAAATGTTTAAAAATGCGTTCTTGGTGTCGGGAAGATTCCCGATATGTCGTAAATTACTTCTTTATTATTTTTCTTCTATCTTCGTTTATTACGTCTAGTCAGTAAATATATTCTATATTCAGCTACGCTAATTCTTTCTAAATTTTTTGGCCGAGAGGCAACTCGCTGTGAGATGTGTATGGCATTGAAGAGCTAAATATGTACACTTAAAACATTAATTGTAGCAATTATCATATAAGCATCAAGAGGGAGCCAAAGTGTACCCTTTGCAAGTACGATAAGGTACAGGACCCGAGAGAGGTCTCTGCGATGCGTGGAGAGCGCAAAGGTGCTCTTCCCCAGGAGTGTCCCCACAGGAGCGAAGGTATCGCGAGAGATGGTGCATTTTCTATGCCCGAACAGTCAGCAACTAGGAAGGTAGGGGGTGCAAAAACGAAAAAAAATATCCCATTTTCAACACCATAGGGAACAAAAATAGGTGGGAAAGTCTGCCATTTTGTAGCAGCATTAGTTAGACTATGGTCTCGAAGAAAGGCCAATTTCAAACATAAACAAGAATTACAAAATATTTGACGATTGATTGGTATCAAGAGGTTGTTCCGAAATGGAAGAACCGTTGCGCGTGTGGAGGCGTTTCGGCCCACTGTCCGCCGGGCGCCCGATGAGATGTGCTCTTGTCAGAAGGTGAGGAAGTCGCCCTGGCATCAACGGGCGCTCTCCCTCCAGCTGGAGCCACGTACGCAGCGTTTTCGAGCAATGGAATGTTCAAGAGTTGGACGGTTGATTGTTTTAAATTATTTATTTTAGGTCGCTTTAAAAACAGCTAAGGTCATTAGCGACCACTGTTAATTTACTTTAGAGATACAATACAGTAGGATTTTCTTTTTGTATATATACAATAAAGTTGTGTTAAAATTTTGTGTATATGTCGAGTGACTTTTGTGATATTGATTTCATACAGTATTATTTTTCTAGCTTCGAAGGTAACGTGAACAAAATTTCATTAATGTAGAAATAAAAGTGTATTTTTTGTGAAAAAAGAAACAAACCTCCTTTACATGAGAGAATGTAATAATTTTACGATAGAAGCCTAAGTTATAACCTACCTTTCAGAGAAAACCGCATCGAAATTCATCTCAACGGTTTCAAAGATAACCCCGAATAAACAGAGTCAAAAAGTGAAAATATTGAAAATTTTGTATGGCAAGTGTAAGGAAATGAGATCATAAAAAGGCGCTTATTTTGAATTCACAGAGACCCCAATTTTATTTACATAGATAGGCGTGGTGAGAAATGATGCGATTGTCCCCTCCTGAGCTGAGATTGCGAACGAGTCCGAACGCTGGCGTGCGAGCGCGCGCGGTTTCTGTCGGCGAAAGACTCGATCGTCTCACGCACCTCGCTTTGTTTTCTCTGTCACGCACTCGCGGCGCAGGGAGAGACGACGCGGCTGGAGAGCACGGCCAGTGAAACCGGCACTTTCGCTGAGGCGTCGCGTGCCATTCAGTGCTCTATTTCTTCAATAGATATGGAAGATAGCATTCAAACGTTTTTGGTTTAATTGGCGCTACCATACTGCGATTTTCGCAACTCTGCCCCTGGCAGGCATCAGCGGCTGACAGTTTCATTCAATCGCGAGCTTAAGCGGCACAAAAGTGACGTCACTATAGTGCGTCCAGAATCAGTGAACAGCTGATACCTGCTAGCGACAGAGTTGCTTAAATGGCAGTATAGTAAACTTTCACTTTAAAAAGTGCTTTAGTAATTTATCATATTACTTTTATTCTAATAAAAAAATTAGCGTTTATTAGAAAATACACTCTTCTTTCAGATGATTAATAATCTTTCTTATCCGTACAACGGGATGTCCCTGTTGTGATACTTTCAGTCGCAGTATTTCGTAGGGTTTCTCATTCACGAAGTAAAAAAAAATAAAGTTTATCTACATTCATGCTGAATGAGTCAGTTCGGGAGAATAATTCTAGTGAACATCATTCTGCTCTACCGACGCGGAACGATTTGTTCACCAGCGCTTTTCAGAAGCAGAGCGGCCGTGCCTTGGCGCTGATAAATGTGTCAACAATCCATCGTAATCGGCTGAATTCAACCAAAATCACTCTTCTCAGAGTTTTTGGTTTAGTTGAATTCATGGTAATGATAATCTGATAGCATTACTATCATCTTCATCCATGATAGACACGAATGTTACAAATAAAAATAATAATACCAACATTTCGCATGAGTGACAACGACAATAGAACATTTCCTAGTTGACTTCGCAGCTTTCTAAGCTCGCAGACCAATGCGAATTTCTTTGACAAAGAAGCAGAATCTGCACTCAATTCAATGAAACCTAATTTTGGAAGTGTGCTCGTCACGTACTCAAAAACAACTACTTCAGGTGGATGAATTACGAAGTCATCTGTTGTCCAAGCACTTAAAGACAATGTCACTGCACCTTCCAATCTCCAACAAAACTTTCTCTAATTTATTCTTCGAAGAAGACATTCCTTCAGGACATTAGGTTTATTCACGACAAAACTGTACACGAAGTTCACAATCAAATAATTTAGCGCACTATTTTAGAACCTATCCAACCACAATATAAGGCCGCTTAGTAAACTAGGTAAATCTCCTTAATAATTATTATCAGCTAATACACTCAGCTAATTATCCCATTCGAGTACTTTTTTTTCAGGTATGGGTGTTGTGGTGTGATATCTTTGGCATTTTAAAAATAATTAAAGATGTTGTCATTGCCAACAATTTTTTTAATGCAATAGCAGCTCAACTTACATTTCTATGTTTTGCTGAATAAAAATAATTTTTACGTGTCCTATTTCTATTTTTCATTCGCATTTCTTCTTTAGTATTAATGGCTTAAACCCCCCCCACTTTTTCTTTCTCCATTGTCAAATATATTTTTCCAAAAAAGTTTGTAAATTATTTTGTAACCTTTATCATAATCTTGTTGTTAATTCACGTTAAATGTTTTGTTGTTTTGTTTTTTTCTTCTTGTATCAGACAACTGATGATGATGGCTAAGCCATCGAAAGCTGCTATTGCATTAAAAAATATTGTTGCAATGACAACATCTTAATTATTTTTCAGGAATTAATGTAGTGGCTGATTCCTCAAATTACGATATTCTAGGTTTAGTGATGACTACCACATGTACTAGGACCAAAACTCTTTAAAAGAGTGTAACAACAGGAGTAAAATAAGAGATCCAGATCCTTCAATAGGGTGATCTAATATTAAAGTCAACACTTGACAAGAGTATGTTTTTAAGATAACGTTTTATTATAGGTGATACACGCGTTGCCATAGTTAATGGAAGTTAGTAGTTATTAGTCTTTGTTAAAAATACCATCCAAGGAAGTGGTATCCCTGAACTTCTCCCACAATCTCCCATCGCTTCGCTATGCCTCGCCTACTGACTTACCGAGAGCAGCATTGACCTATTGACCACTGCGTACCCGTTGAGGCTGATGGTTGGCGGTGTCATCGACATGGCATCCAGCCATCGGTCCACCTGCAAATCACTTTGTCAATAAGTCCAGGCAAAGCTCATCTAGCAGGATAGGAAACTTCCTGTGTACGCACCTCCTCTTTCGCTTGCGGGCTACGAGATGCAATATCCTCCAAAAGCAGTTTTTCTTGAAACGCGAATCCTACCTATTAAAGAAAAAGGGTTTTAATAATAACGTTTTCACAAAGCAATGAAACTAGAATAATTCCGTTGGGTAGACAGAAATAAAAGATTTAATAAACTATTTCATCATATCTTACATGTTTTACTAGTTATGTACGTTACAAAAGTAATTTATATATCTATTTAAAATATGAGAGCGCGTATTGTTCACTAACTATTTAATTTAGGCAAGAACTTCCTTACGTTTCTCAGCACAAGAGGGGTATATTTTCAATTATAAAGAATAATGGAAATAAGGATGAATTTGGTGAAAGTTATCTATTTCTCATGCAATTTCTCAGAATTTAAAACTAGCGCATTAATACGAGTATAACTGGCAAACACTTGACGTTCACTTCGTACAATTTAAGTATGCTTAGTGGAAACTTGAGCACGGAAATGGGGACGATATGTCGCAGTGTTTAACTTATTGCAGGTCTAAATTTCATAACAGAAAATTCTCATGATCTGTCTGCGTGATCCTACATCGATAACTTCGCGAGTCGCGTGGCGACAAGCGAACTTATGTGAGAAGTTTTAAACCAACGGTTGAACTATTTCACAAATAACAGTCGTAAATCGATTAAACAGTATGAGCATAATGTTAAAAAACAGCGAAACTTGTTTCTTGTTGGGTTGTTTCAAACGCTATATTGATTACTGCAGTTTTAGCCATTGAAGGAATATTTATTTATTTTCCAAAACAGTTCAAGGACATCCGCGTTAGACGATAGCGAAAAGTACGCATGTAAACTTTTCGATTGTAGACGCCTCTGATTGGTGTATCTAACTACAAAACTCTATTGGCGGGATTGAAATTAAAATCTCACGAGTGGAACAGTCGTCATAAGTGCTACAATCAAAGCCCTGCAGAACAAGCCTGCTGGAGGGCAATTTATTTTTACTTAAATACAATTTTCCTTTTTAAAACAGCAGATGTGAATTACATTATAAAATTGTTTTGTAATCAGCGACCTCGAAAATACTAACCGTGTATCAATATTTCTACGACTTCCTGCTTCATTTTTATGAGTGAGTTTGCCATTTTGAGGCCACCTTATTTAATTTTGAAATTTCAATGACCTCAAAAAATGATGTACGTATATTTTAAAGAATCTTTGTTTGTTTCTAAAAAAACCAAGTCGAGTGACCTGCTCGGAAGGCAATCAGCTTGCGAGGATTTGTTTACTTTCCCACAGTTAGGGTTCATCGTTGCCGCTCATCCAATTCACAGGAAGTCGCGGAGGCGATAAACTTCTGTTTTGGCGAAAGTTATGAAAGTTATGATATCAAGATGGATTACGGCCTGTGAGCCTGTGGGGTGCTGGCACCTCGTTGGTGGCGCAGTGGGCGGCGTTGCAGACGGCGCGCAGCAGCAGCGCGCTGTGGGCGAACACCACGGCCATGCGCAGCTGCTCCAGCGCCAGCCCGGCGCTCGCCACGTCCGACAGCGCGCCGAACGCGCCCACCGTCAGCGTCGCCGACATGAACAGGCAGAAGTGGCTGAGGGTGTCGGCGTGCGCGTCGCCCTGCAGGCGCGCCAGGCGCGACAGGCGCAGCCACAGGTGGCGCAGCTGGCGCAGGTCGCCCGCGCCGCCGCCCGCCTTCTCCAACGGCCACGCCCCCGCACCCGCACCCGCCGTCGCCGCCGCCGGGGCCCCGCTCACCTGCCGTCCACGCGCCAACGCGCGCTCTCACATCGGAAGGCCCTGCCCTCCGACAGGCCGCCAAAGGGCCAAACACCATCTCACGCACAGAGGAACCGATTACTTCATTAAGAATTGTTCCTTAGGTTGATTAATGCTTCCAGGCGCGTAAAGTGTATTTGTCCCGTTAGTGTAGTGAATGTTTTATCGCGGGAGATGACCGTGATCTTCCCCCAGTGGATGGCGAGATCCGGCGCCAACCTACCCGTCCGCTTGCAGGGTTTGCCCCAATGATTTGTCTCCTACCAGTGTGGCATAGCCCCAGCCGGGCCAAGTTCTAATCTCCCTACTGCTCTTCCGACGTGTGTGGTAGTGTAGTGCATGTAATTCTAAGTGTATGGGTCACCCCTAACTTACATGCACTACACTACCACACATTCAAGAGACATTCGGGAGGATAGGGCAAGAAAGAGGAAGGATTCGCGGACCGTTTGTTAGGGTTCTGCTCCGGGATTAGCCTAGTGTTCGTCGGGGAAACCACGAAAAACTACTGATCAAAGCAACCGGCCGCTAGAAGTCTCCCTCAGATAGCGGCAGAATTCGACCCAGCCATGTACAGCCAGTGTCGAAAATCCTGCCACCGTCGGATCCATAGGACCTGCCGGTCAGAGGCAATGCAGTGACAGTAATTAATGTCCTGAGCCACCTAAGTCTCTTCAGTCACAAATCGCTGTGAGGCAGCCCTGAGACAAGCCGAACAACATCCGAAAGAAACTTATACCAAATGAAAAATCCATAACACGTTATCTCATGCAGATGCGGATCAAATCCTTAACTGAATAATTTATTAATGAAAATGATTTCCAGCTACATCGCAGACATCTTACAATTTTTCTCCAGACACGGACTCCAAACTCGACTTAGCTACCTAGCCAGTGTCGAAAATCCTGCCACTCCCACTCGGAACTCGAAGTCTATGGCTTCCCGCCCAGAGGCACTGCAGTGACAGTAATTGATGCCCCCAGCCACAAAACTCGGTCTCCTCAGGCAGGAATCGCTACCAGCCAGCTGAGAACGGCCCACAAGTGTGGAAAGAAACTTGACCAAATGAAAAATTCATTACGTGTTATCTGACGCAGAGGGGGATCAAACCCTAAATCGACCACGTTATTAACGGAAACAATTTCCATCTACATCGCAGACGTCTCGGCCCGAGTGAACTCAGTTCTGAAATTTGGACATCGTCAGAGTTTGAAATCATGTTCTCAGAAGTATCTCATCTGAATAGATTCATAGATTCACTATTAAAAACGTACCGAAATGTTCATATTAATAACTAAAAGCAATAGGCATTTGTTCTTTCCTCTATTAATATTGTAAATACTTACTTAACTACTGAAGAAGGTGAGCATTTAGCAAATGAATGAAATGTTTTTCAGAGAGGCAACAAAAGTAGTCCAATAAACGTTCAAGTGAGAATCCCAAAGGCACATTCCTAAGAGTTACGAACATTATTTTGTAGTACAAATTGTGGAAACTTAAAATTTGGGGGAAATTGTCACCTTGAGAGGGCGCTGTTTAGTTGACTCACGTTGAACCAGTATTTTGCAACTTCCCAGTAGTTTTATAGGGTCATGAACTATTTGCGGTTCGCGTACGCCCATTTTGCTATAAGCGTACCGCAAAGTACAAATTTCCAATCAAAAGACAGTGAAGTCAACTAGTTTCCATGAATAAAATGCCCAAAACCAACGCGTTAATTCTGTAATCAAAGAAAACGATGTAGATCGTAAGTTGGAGAATAGTAACATTCTTGCAAATAGCAATCCAAAAATTGCAAAAATTTACTTGTTCCGGTCCGAAACTAGTCAGTCTGTATTCACTTGTAATCAATCCATAAAAAGTAAAAAGGGGATCGTCATATTCATGAAAAGTATCGGATCGTCATATTCATGGTTGTACTATGGAAATGTTTTTAGATACTATTAAAAATGTAGGTTATTCCTAATATTTTTAAAATTTTTTTGAAGAAATGAAGAAAAATCGGAAAATTAATTTTGATTTAGCAGTTACAATATTCACAGACAGTAGATAATAGTCAATTAGAAGAAACTCGGGTATCGCGGAAACTTTCATAGAAACGGTTAACCGATTCTGATACTTTCTCGCCTTACTACTTTCTTACGAACTAAAGAGAGAATATTGTAATGATGCAGCACAAATTGGCGATTTCGACAGAGAAACTCGTTTTGTGGGTCCTAGTAAGTAGATAAATATTGCTCCTGCATGTATTATACTACTTCCTCTAACACATTGTGTAGTCAGAGTCCGTTTTTGTGGGTCTTGATACCGAAAAATCCAATGACGGCAAAACGTCGGTCTTTGCTCAACGTCAGCGCAAAAACTTTTCGGACGATTTTCTCCTTATTTGACATTCCTCGATCGCTCTGAACTAACTCAACGCCCAGGGAGTTTTAAAAGAATATTTTTAATTTTAGGGGGAACTTTACATAAAGCCTCAACTTTTTCATTTTGTTTCAAAAAGGGCTCCAATTTTTATTTATAGTTTTCCTTGGGTGCATATGGGACGGTTAACAAATGGTGCAGGTCTCATCATTGTTGAAATCTCTGAATATTTAAAAATTGCCTAAGTAAAAACAATTTGGATGTCTTACTCCAATATTAATTTGTTGATAAATAGCCGATTTCTGCCGCAACATAACAATATTTTCTCCTTTCTAAGTAAGTACGTAGTAAAGCGAGAAAGAATGAATAATACTCCTTACAAAGCAATGGTACGCATTTATATATCTAAACAGATACTGATACATAGTATAAATAAGGAACCAGATCGATACTAACGTATTTCAGTCTTCAATCACTACATTCCTTTACACTGAACAGAATAATAACTAGCTCGATATTATTATGACCATATCTTTAGTAAAGGCTACAGATGAATAGAAAAGTGTTTGATGTGGTGATAACGTGCGAAGTTTTAACATGGAGCTTAACCTCGTTTAACGTACGTACCAAAAGATTCCATTTGTATTATTTCATAATTCTTATATATTACTCATAAAATATCAATTAAAATAATTTATTTTGTTTGAAAATACACATGCAGGTTTAGATCATAAGCACATGAAGATCATGGTATTATCTATGACTAATATTTTTATAAAACCATTTTACGTGCTGAAAGCTTCATCATATTTACATTTTAAAGTGCGGATACTCTTGTTATCATTTTATTTATCATGCATATTTATAAGAAGGATTTTGTATTTTTTCTTGTTTTTAATAAGTTGGTAATCGTAATTAAATAATGATCTAGGTATACTCATGCCATTCCATTACAAATTTTATTTGGTGTTCTTTTGTGAAAATAGAACTATTTTATAATTTGAGCGCTGTCGCTTTAGAAACTACCGACCGTCATTAATAATAAAATAATTTTGTGCCATGACATTTTAAACAAATCACATTATTTCTTAAGTGCAGAGTTCATGCTTCATACCAAATAATCTTCGGACATTTGGAACAGCTGCTCTTTGGACATCTGCCAGGCTACGTCAAGTGAGTCTCTCGTCCTAGGCAGGGCAATAAAGCGGTGCAAGCCAAAGGGACGAATCTGGGAGGAGGGAAATGAAATCAGAACAGTCGCATGCGCACAGCTTGCGAGAGAAATCAGCGCAAGAGCTGCTGGCGGAAACATACGCAAATATACACAGAGATTTTCGCAACTCAGCCCTTAGCAGGTACAAGCTGTTGACAGTTTCAGCCATTCGGGGGCTTAAAAGTTACCATAGTGTCGTACTCCCGATTGGATGAAACCATCAACAGCTGATACCTGCCAGAGGTAGAATTGCTAAATCGCAGTATAGATTAATTTAATAAGATTTTTAATGTGGTGAGGAAAAAGTCAAGAAGCAATGCAGAAGCTTACGTCCTAATTTTCATTTTATATGGGTTCGAGTTGTCAAAAATTAATTTTCGTGTCTTAATAGGAACAGTAAAATGTAATTGGATTGTATAGTTTCAATAAGTGTAAATGTAATTAATAATGATCAATTGATTACATCAGAGCTGGTATGTTGACTAAGAACATAAGTACAAATCATTTACTGGATATTGTCTTTCGGCTATGACATTTTTTTGTTTCAGGTCCATTGTATTGACCTTGATTTGTTTTTTCTTAACCATTGTTTTCCTATAAAAATCACTGCCCAAATTAAATATTTCTTATACGAACTACTTTATCTCTTTAAAGAAAATGAGGCTGTGAAAGGGTCAAAATTGCTTTCCAAAATCAACCCAACGTAATAATGTCTACTATCCATTTAAGTAACTATCGAAGATTTTATATCCATTGCTCCATGAATATTCTCAGCAGAAGCTTTGTTTCTAATGTGAGATTCAGAAGAATTACTAAGAATTTTGCTGCAAATTCTTATCGAATTGCCTTTGTTGTAAGCAAATAAATCAGGACAGCGTTTCCGAAATATATTTTTTATGTAGCCACAGCGTTAACACTAAGATGCATGGACCCGGGAAACTAAAGGAAAGCTCATGCACGGCCGCTTCGGAAAAATGCATATTCAATTGTTCTTTTTAATCTTATAAGTTCATTTCCTAATAATTTCAATAAAAATCAACTCTTGATGTTTCTGAAATTAATATTTATTTTAAAAACTATTAAGTAGCGAACCAGTGAATGAATATTTAGCATGACATGAACGCGGATCAACACGTTCTTTATTCGGCGAGTAGCGACCGCTCGCAGAATCCCAAATAGTGTGGATGAGTTGCATGCTATTTGTCGAGTGATGAACATTCGCTGCTCGCCTTACCCGTGTCGGTCTTTAGGACACAACACAGGGAAAGAACATCCGCCGAACACAATCAACTGTTTGCGATTGGCCCAGCAGAAACTACCTGCTCGGCGAATGCCAAATGCATGGAGCCGCCGCGAGCTGAGAAGTGCCGCGTGAGGGCGTACGCAGCGCTACCTGGCGGCGTCGCCGGGCGCCACGCGCGCGTACCTTGTCGACGCAGCGGTAGATGGCGGCGGCGGCCTGCGCCAGCGCGGCGGCCTCGGCGTCACCAGAGGCGGCGGCGGTGAGGCGGATGCAGGTGCAGGTGCGCCATGGCAGTCGCGACGGTTCCCACAAGGGCTGTCGCGCGCCGTCGAGGAGCGCGCCGCGTCTGCCGTATGCTCCGCGCCGCCACGCCGCCGGCACGAGGCCAGCCCCGCCCTACGCCGCTGCGTCCGACGCATACAGCGAAGGCGCAGACCGGCTCCCGTCGCGCGCAGCGAAACTCGTCCTGCACGGCAGCGCGCACGGCCTCTCAGCTCAGCATCTCTCGCATCGCGCACCTGCAGACGCGAATTATAAACAAAATCTTCAGATATCCATAAAATGAATGTTCCTCCGAACAAAGTTACCAAGGGTGAAAAATAAAGGAAATCGACTTTTCGTCAAAAAATTAAGAAGCCAGTTTTATTTTTGAATTATCCAATCAGTTAAATACATTTTTGGTCATTGCTCTGATGAGTTTTTTTAATTTATTTTCCAGATACATTTCAATAAAAGTTTACAAATCAATCTGCTATCAAATTGAATTTCCCGTGTGAACTTGAACGGCTATTAATCCAGTTTTATAAATATCGATGCTCAGTAACATGGGTTGTTTTGCAATATCGATGCTCAATAACATGGGATGTTAAATTAATATTGATACTTCTTCATAATACAAAATTACAATAATTTTCATATACATGTAATTTGAACATTCTTCAGACCAGAGTCAGCAAGAATGAATACTAAGTCAGTCGTATTTTGTTGATAAATGTTGGGTATTATTTTTGTATTATTAAATAAAACAATATATAATTCATTATTTTGTCGAAACAGTTTTATAAACGATTAAACTATGTTGTAATGTTTTGCAGTCGCTATGTGATCTTTATGTAATTGCTAATGACCATGGACGTCGATGAGACTTAAAATACATTTTAAAACAGAAAATTGCATTAATGTTTTGACTGTTTTCTTAGCTAAATCTCAATCATAAATTTACAAACCCGACCATGTCATACCCTCTCCCTGCATGTGAATACAGATGTTAGAGGTTTCTAAAGTAATTCTACAGACATCAGTGCCTATCGTTGGTTTCGGTCAATGCACTTCGAATATAGATTTTGAAAATTTGAACATCGATATTTTGAACGGATGTTTTGCTGCCGAAGTCGCATCTCTAGCTCTCGGCGGCGCGGCGAAGCACTGGCTTAAGTGGAAGGGCATGCCGCAAAACAAACAACAAACATTTCAGTGCTCTTTTAGTGCAGCCTCCGAACATGTGAATATTTAACACACGTGCTAGCATTATTTACCATCCATTTTCTCACTGAAATTTAGAAGGGAATGAATTCGCAAATAGTCATTGGCATTTTGAGAAGAGCAGTAAGGATGAAATTTGAAATGTTGACTGGCGTATATTAACGGCAACGCTTCTTGAAAAAGAACAAGTATGTTGTCAGCACATGTAAGCGTTAGCATCAGTTACTAAATATATCAGGAAGGATATTACATGTCACCTACTTGTTTGTTATAGTAACGTGTGTGTGTGTGTTTTTAATTTCCGCGTGTCTCACGTTAGCTGGTTCTCCATGTATGCCAGTATGCATTCAAAGAGCCTACATTTTGTCTGTCAATAATGCACTAATAGTTGAATGATGACTAACAGCTCATGATTAAGCGAACAAAAAAACTGCTCTATGTACAGACAATAAGGCGGCCAAGTGCTGCTCTGCTCGCGTTGCAGCAAACCAAGCGAAACGGCGTCTTCTTGTGTTCTCCCGTTTTATACCGCGCTCTGGAGGCGACGCAAAGAAGTTCGGTATTTTAAATGTAAATTACGACTTGGCGGGGGTTTTCTCGCTGGCTTAGGTTCGCGGTTTTTGAAGAAACGTATAACAACCTTCAGAGCGCGATTCTTGAAAATGCTCGAGCTTAGCCTGGATGTATAACAAGAAGAGCTTATAACGTTTTTTATAGGTTAGGCACCAAATTTAAATAAATGCGAAAGCTATTTGGTAACAGGATTAAACAAATTTATTTATTTTTTTACTTATATTGTCTCCGCTTTTGTAGGTATGTGACGAAGAAAAGCGCAGGCAAGCGGAGTGTACTAGTGACAGTGAAGGAAATACAGCATGTTCGCCACGGTGTCTCCATCTTACCCACTAAGCGTGAGAATTAAACCAGGGCCAAACAAGGGGGATACCGTTAGCTAGCTGACGCAGTTGAACAATCGGCTGAAAATTGAATTACATTTATTTTTTTGTTTTTTATTTATTATTGTATGTATTTATTCTTCTTTTTTATTTAAGGTCGCATCAACTTCTAGGTCATTAGCGACCTTGTAACGTTATGGTAAATGTGAGAATGAACTCCGATGATAGCGGTGAAAGGACGAACACAATACAACCATGCCCGAGGCGGGACTCGAACCCGCGATCCCTCCGTCCGAGATTGCTACGGTACTACTGCCTTAGCGATCTCGGCCACCGGCTGGGCTGTTTATTTCTATTTGCTTATATATTATATTTATTGTTTGTGCGAGCGTGCTGTTGGCCGGTGCTGACCTGGAAGGCGCCCCACTCGTTGAAGAAGTGGGCGACGCGCCGCGCCTCGCGCCAGTTCTGCGCGGGGATCATGCAGAACTGGTGCGCGTAGGCGAGCGAGAGCAGGTCGAGCGTGAGCTGCACGAAGGTGGTGGCGGCGCCGGTGTCGAGCAGGCGGCGCACCACGCGCGCCGTGGCGAAGGCGAGGGGCGTGCCCAGCGCCACGAACAGCGCCACCGCGTACGCCGTCGCCAGACTCACCATGCGGCACGACGCGCCCTCTGCCAACGCAATCGCCAACGTTGGCTCTACACTCTTTTCGTTGTAGTTATCATCAAATATTTAATGTCACTTCATTTTCATTTGTACAGTGTAATTAATTGGCTACCGCCTGGCAAAGACGCCAATTGTGGCCAAAATAAATTTATTATTATTATTATTATTATTATTATTATTATTATTATTATTATTATTATTATTATTATTATTATTATTACACGAGGTACTCTAAGGAGGGACCAGTTGGACAGCTCGGGAAACAAATGGACATCATATAGGCTAAGGGCATTGCAAGAGAGAGTGATGAAACCAATGAGAACTGTAAGCGAACACACTGACAAAAGGAGTGCTTACACATAACCTGCAATTATGTATCCAGCCAAGACCAAATAGGAAATGACAAGGCAGTCTCTTCTTGTAGTAATCTCTCTATACAGAGCTAATCAGAATATATGCTTGGCTAGCTTGATTTTCCCCAACCAGATATCTCCCATCAGCGAGGCTTCGCCACAGTCGGGACAAGCTCTAAACTCCCGACCGGTCTCCCGGCATATGTGTTAATGTAAGTGTATGTAAGTAAGGGGTGAGGATAGGACAAGGAAGAGGAAGGAATGATCGCGCGCCGCCCATGACCCGTTTGTTAGGATACTGTTTCTTGTAAAAAGAAATTGCATGATCAGTTTTTAAACTAATTTAACACAGATTAATCTCGATTGTACTTAAAGCATCACACTATGTAACGTATTTTAAAGGTAACTTTATAAAAGTGTTATTTGTCGTCAAGACAAATTAGCTTTCATGCAGTACGAGTAAATTGCGAACGTTAGTTTTGAAAAACAAGGATATTACTTCATGAAAATGTAGGCACAGATAACGATAAAATTGGTAAGGGCCTATTCATGATAATGGCTGATAACACGTAATACGAAACGTGAAAATGAACACATAAACTTCATGAAGTAAATTGCCGAGGATACTAGAAGAGCAAATATACTTCAAAAATGCAGATAATTAAGTTTAATATTTAAGATGTTAACGAAAAACTGGGCTAAAGCTCTTTAAAAATGTTTTATTCTGTTAAATATTATTGTCAGATATTAGAGATGATACAAACTAGTGGTGTTAAAGCAGCACATACTTTCTCGCTTTATTTGTAACGGCTACGCAATATTTACTGCACCATGGACCTGCAGAAGTGTTTCCACCCAGTCATTTTTTCTCTACGAATTCAATTTCTTCCAGACAACAAACTAGGCACGTTTTCGCTGTACCATGCAGACACTAGGGGATTCTCGATTTTCCAACTTTTAAAAACTAAAGATACTCCATTATTTCTACCAATTCAGAGAGTTCAAAGAAAATGAAAATTCGCCATTTTAAGATTCCTTTGCTCTATCTGCGAAAAAGTTAAAGAAACAATTTAACAATTTGAAGCAGTTTTTGCGAAATATATTTTTTATAAATTTTATTAACTTCAAATAAAAATTACGCTACATTTCTCGTGTTTAAAAAAATATACATGACGGTTTTAAAGATCTATTTTTTAGAACAGCGTACGTGAAGGCGGTCCCCCGAAAGAGTGACGTCACAGTTGCCATCGGACAGGCAGTACTCGGCAATGGGTGATCTGGGCTGTCCGGGTGACGCCGCGTCGAAGGCTGAATTGCCGACGTTTCGACCATCCTGTCGTGGTCTTCCTCAGGGCTGGTATGGGCGCCCTGAGGAAGCTGGTATACCCGGGGCGGCGTCACCCGGGCAGCCCAGATCACCCACATGACTGGTCGCGGAAGCCTACGACTTCAGTACTCGGCAGTGCTCGGCGGTCTGGAGAGAGGGGGGTGAGCTGAGCTGCCAGCAGGATCTCGAAGGGTCGAACTGGACTAGGGATCCGGAGAAACGTCGGCAAAGGTCAATTAGGGCCGATTTGAAACGTCTAGGGGTGGAAGGATGACGCCAGGGCCATTATGGAACGAACTGAACCGAAAAAAGTGTGAAAGGATGTGGTCGAGACCAGTATGGGCCGAACTGAAACCGGCGAAGGGGTAAAAAGAGG